CATAGCTGCTTTAACATTTAATCTGTGATGGTCCACACATCGAATCTTTTTCATCGCAATTTATAGTGTCCAGAGCCAACCAGCCTTCAACGTATCCATTTTGCAATGCTGTCTGTAAATCTTATTCTTAAATACAGTGGAGCTGTTTCTAGGAATATTGCTCAGACTGTAACATGGGTCAAACTTTTGCTTTCTTGTTATCAAGGCCAGTTTTTCTGTAAAGACAATACAGGAAATTCATGCCAATATACTACAGTATGTGAGACTCCACTATGAAACCCTTTCTTAGCCTTAAGGAGTCTTCTCAGACTCATAAAATAAGTGTGTCAGTGTGTGTCTGAATTGGAAATGCACCTTTTAATTCCTTTTTAACTTTTTTTAAAATCCATAAATTATACAATCATGAGGATAACAGCTGAATTATTCAAACTTGAAGCTGAGCAGCTCCGCAAACCACACAGTTCAGAGCCTTGATTCAGCTCTGTTTATTTTCATGAATATTTCTAGAAGAAATTACAGGAGATTAAAGTAATAATTGCAAAATAATATAATAATCTCCAATTGAAAAATAATAATTTTGCAGGGGGAACTGTGTTGTATATAAGACAGCGATAAATGTCAAAGGACAAAATGGAATCCAAACAATAATCCATTGCTGCAAAAGTGGTGCATTCTGGGAGATCAGGTCAAGCTGATCAAAATGCCAGATTTGAGTGTTGAGTGTTGATGCTGCACAGCTCTAAAGTTCATGGTTCAAGCTTGTTATCTGGTTAAAGTCTGTGCAGTTTTTTGCTTCTTTTCCCCATGTCTGCATGGGGTCCCTCTGGTACTCTTGTTTCTTTCGATCTCCTTATATTCCTCTATGTGTGTGCACATGTGTGTGTGTGTGTGTGTAAATTCAAAAGTATTAAAAAAAGGACAGCTAAATTAGAGATACCACATGGCCAGAAAAGTTATATGGATTTGTACAAATTAACAGTTTATGACTTGAAAAAATGTATTGATTATTCTATGCCCAGTTCAACTGCTTCACTTAAGCTGAGTGAAGCTACACAATGAGTGTTCACACATTGCATGACTCTCTGAACACAGCAACAGAAATCCTATGAGTACCTCACGAGGTAGGTCCTCATACAGACTATAGAATCTAAACTTTAATGTCAGCTGCATTTCTAGTCAAAAAAATGTTGACATTCAGAGTTCAGCTTGGAAGTTTCACATATCATCAAAGAAAAGGAGCTGGGAAAATATGGACACAGAGGTGATTATGGTTAATATGACATGTCTATTTTACAGAAAGAGCTGGACATTTTCTCTCAGTCATAACCTTTGTTTATGTTTGATTCAACCTCATTAACATTTGTGTGACACTATGAGGCTGGTTGCTCACGCACGTGCAGAAAGCGAATATAGTTTACTAGTTTAAGATATTACTGAGCAACACCATGCCGATTACGAAATAATATTAATACATTTAAAAAAATCACAGATTGCTTAAACCGATGGTGCTATTGTTGACTGTTATGCTCAGATGGTGACATTGCTCACAATCTGTACATCCTGTTAGCACCAAAATTAGCACCAGTGCAACAAATACAAACGGAAGGTGGCTTGTAGGTTCAAAACACATTAACAAACCAAAAATGCAACAGCAATTCAAAAAAACACTAGCAAAACCAAATTATTGAAAAACACATGTTCACTGCTGATTGGACATGGTGTGTGACTATCATAAGGAAAAGGAATTGCATTGCATTTTTCAGTCTGTTATCTAGTTAGTCTAGCTAAAATGATTTAATTCAATGTTAATTATGTTATTATTGTAAGGAGTAATTCTTTCTTCTAAATAGAATCCTTTAACCAGATTTTCGCAGACATTAACGCTGTGCACAGTCGACAGCATATTTAAAATTATCAGGATATTGAGTCGGAGGTGGATGCAAGTGCAGATGATGGTTTAATAAGTGCAACATGAAAACAAACACTAAGAACATGAATTAGAAGAGCAAGAACTTCGCAAACATGGAGACACACAAGGTGCATGTGATCTCATGATGTGCAGGGGCTGATGGGTAATGTAGTCATGACAAAAATGACTTCATGTGATGATGTCATGCTCTTGATAGAAATAAGCATGAATGAAAGCATCATGTTTCCTCATGTTCATTTAGCCACACACACACACACACACACACACACACACACACACACACACACACACACAGGCCACTTTATTAACATTTTAATTACAGATTGATCACAGATAAGTGGTGTTCATCCACAAAACAAAAGCAACTGTGCCATTTTATTTAGTGCTGCACACTCTCTATCTTTGTACTCTTTTTTCTCTCACTTTGCTTCCTACATCCTTCTCCACTGGGCAGCATCAGCATCATCCTTCTCCACTGGGCAGCTTTCATTACCCTTCTTATTGATGTGTACATTCAAAGATATTCAGTAATCTAATGAATGAGTTTCAATTATATTGGATTTCTGTCTAGCTATTCTCAAAATCTGTAACCTAACTGTAGCCTGTGCACATAGGAGCAGGTTTAATGAACAGCAGCTCCTCAGAATAAACCAGGAGGGATTGTTGGTTGGAAAACTATGACGTGATCCTTTGCCCTGCGCTTTGTTGTGTAGCTACACATACAGCACATTTCTCCAAGGAATGCAGAGACACTGCATACTGTGAAGCTAACGCTCTTCAAAGGGCAGTAAAAAAAAAAATAAATCCACTGTAGCATTACCACCTGAGTACTAATTCCTGCTCCTTGCATAGCAAGGAAACAAGCTCTAATGCGGCCTGATTTAAATAGACTAATTAGCCAGCACTGCTGATTTGCGATTGAATTATATACAGATTATATACAGCATTTGATCCAAGAGCCTGGTGTGTTAATATCACCCAGATTAGCGACTCCCTGTAAAACATTTGAATGAATGTAATCCTCTGCCTCCAAAGGATTTAGCATCAGGGCTCCAAACTGGTTAAAGGATTGAAAACGTAAACTAGAAATGAATGGCATTTAGCATGGGAAAAAAAGACATCTCTGTTACCAGTTGATAATTTAATTTTTTTTGTTACATGTAGCCCACTAGCTTATTATTCATGTTTATCTGTGGATAGATAGATAGATAGATAGATAGATAGATAGTATATTTAATTTGAGGATTTTTTCAGAACATAAACACTTTCTAGATGCAACTGCATGCAGCACTTGTAGTTAACTTACATAGTCAATGTGCACATCAGCAGAACCAGAAATATGTGCTCCTATATCATGCTGTAACGTGAATTGTTCTAAAAAATATCCCTTACAGCCTAACGTTTCATTGTAGTGCTACTTTCCACTATCACCTTCTTCAAAGCTGTGAATATAGCTCCAATGTTCCCCCAGGTGACTCATGTTCCTCCTCAGAAAGGAAGAGCTCAGTGTCTCTGAAAAGACGCCGGAACACTGTGTTAAAACTGTCAAAATAAACCCCTGATATTACCAGAATTTCAGCTTGATTCAGTGGCCTTCTCATTATATTGGGGCCAGGGTTGTTGCAGTACATTTCCATTAACTGCAATGGTCATTTAGCCTCAGGACTATGAATGTATGGATGATCAATATATTTATGAATGTGTCAGGATTTATTGTATTCATTTCTATAATTTCCTAATCATAAAACACTTTTCTTTGTCTGTTCTAATCTGATGATTAAATGTGGACTATTGGATAACAATGCTATAAATAAGTGAACATGCACATAAAACTAAAGGTGCTTTCACATATGAAGTGTTTAGAATTGACCCCTTGTGTGACGTCTCCCTTGTTGCAGTTTGTTTAGGCAGTTGGGAAGCTGGGAAAGTGAAAACACAGCAATTGCACTTGAGTGTGGACCAAAACGACTGATCTATTACCGTATATGCTTTTCAATTATTTTCAGTTATCAGAATGTAGAGGTTCACAACAGTAAACGCATTTTCTCTTTTTAGCTTGATTTTTAAAGTCTCTGCCATTGTCTTGTCCATTTCTCCCACTCCTTGTGAATGGCGTCCTGTGTAGCTAAGAAGCCATAATACAGTGGAACAGGATAAATGCAGCACAACCGCATTTTATTCTCACCGTTCACGCCACGTTTTGCATGCGGGCCATTTTGTGTTGGGAAATCATTATTTTTAGATTGTTTTCAACCACAGACAATGCATCAGCCAGCTCCCACGCTGTGCCTCTTTGTTCATTTAGCTATTTTTTGCATGTTGGTTTGTGTCATGGATTCAGTAATGATCTAAATTATTAAATGCATACATGGAAAATTAATAGGTAATTAAGTCAGCCATCATGATTATCTCACACAGAGTGTGCCTGGCTTGCACATGGTTTTTCCTGAGAAAAGTATGCATCCTCAACTCTTCTGAGTGGGGGAGGAACCACCTACAGCTCAGAGAGGAGACATGAGAAGAGAAAGGCTTGAAAACTCTACGCGTGAAGTGCGGTGCAGTGAAGGACCTCTGAAGATCGCCATAAACACATTAACTCTTTAATACTTAACTATGCGCTTTCCTCTGTGACATTTACTGCTTGCCTTAGCGCACAGTTTCAACCCATGGTCTCAACAACCACCATAAATAAATTAGTCCATTAATATGCTGCAGCATACCTCTGTGACATTTACTGCTTGTCTAAGCTGCTGTCCATGATGTCAGCTGGTAATAATTGTCCATTTACATTTGATTAGAAGAAATAAGGCCCTCACTGTGGGTAGACAAAGAATCGATGACATAATGACCGAGAGGACAAAGCTGACCTCATGTGCAATGCACTCAGCAGTAAAGATGCAGTACTGCGGGGAGCAGGTGATCAGATATGAATCTCGCAGAATAACAAAAGACCAGGTGGAGTAACTTTAGAGAGGACCGGGCAGGATTGGTCAGAATTCCTTTGCATTTATGACTTTTGGCAGACACCCTTATTTTTTACATTACATTTTACATTTATCTAATTAAGAGGGGCATGGTGGCTCAGTGGTTAGTACTGTTGCCTCACATCTCTGGGGTTGGGGGTTCAATTCCCCCCTTTACCCTATGTGTATGGACTTTGCATGTTTTCCTTGTGCTTCTGGGGTTTTCTCTGGGTACTCCAGCTTCCTCCATTGATTGGAATTTCCAAATTGTGCCCTGCAATGGGCTGATCCCCTGCCTCATGCCCCGAGTTCCCTGGGATAGGCTCCAGGCTCCCCTGCAACCCTGTGTAGGATAAGCAGTATAGAAAATGGATGGATTTATCTAACTGATACAACTGTGCAGTTGAGAATTAAGGGCCTTGCTGATGTGGCCAGCATTGGCAGCTTGGAGGTCCTGGGATTCACAACCTTCCAATCAGTTGTCCAGTGGTGCTATGGTTGTCCTCAAAACCTACTGTTCAGCTTGGAACATGCCAAAGGCTCGGTGAAAACATGCCAAAATGCAATGCTGGCACTTCCCTTTGCATATGTCACCTTCAATACTGACCTGAAACCTATGCACAACAATTTATTATTTACTTTTTACTAATTACTCTTCTGTTGTTTTGTAATATCGATATACTTATTAGTGCTATTTTATAAAGTGGTACCTGAGTGAATGAAAACATCAATCTACAGTATATTGCACTTACCAAAAACAGTTTATACCAAAGACTCACCTGTTCTTCAGTGGATAACTTCGCTTGGATCCTGTAGACATGTAACAAAGAGCTGCTGCTATAATCATAGCAACTATGATGCTCATACTGTACATCCTTTCAACACACTCAGTACTACTTGAATATACACAATTATGGAAGAGTAATGATTTATAATCCCACTGTTCGGTGTCACCCATAAAAGGATGAGTTCCCTTTTGTGTCTTTTTCCTTTCAAGGTTTCTTCCACATGTCATTTTTCCTTCCCATTGTCACCTCTGGCTTGCTTATTAGGGATCTAGATCTATACCTAGATTTTTGTAGAGCTTCTTTGTGACAATGACAATGATTGGAGTAACTATATGTATCAAACAAAACTGCTAAATCTAGAACCCATAAATATCATTCAGCTTGTTCTTCTACATAGAACCCCACCATAGAGTGTTTCCCCATCAGACAAGGTACCAAGTAGAACCACTCTGGGAAGTTATATCCATTAACTATAAAAAAAAAACACAAACAAAATGAAAAATTCATTTTTCTAAGGCTGCACAATTTGTTATTTGACTGTTCCGTCCTATCTCTTGAATAAGACTCTTGATAAAGTCATTTCTTGTCAGCTTCTGCAAAAAGAATCACAATGTTTAGATATTATATATATATATATATATATATATATATATATATATATATATATATATATATATATATATATATATATACACATATATTTTTTTAAGTCGTGATTGGAGCATACTTTATGTTCTGTACAAACTGCCAATAAAATTCAATCACAAAAAAAACAAAAATCTCATGGCTGAGTTCCACTATTAATAAATATGGAAATGTGTGTCCCTTCATTGACATGGCTGGTCTTTACTTACGCCATTGCCTTTTTAAAAAATCGTTTTGCAGTATATACCTCATCTTCCAGCTTTATCAAGCTTCATAAAGCTAATGAAAAGAAGGATTCACTCCCAAGCAGGGCTCTACTATTGGCAGTTTTTCTTCAGTACATCAAGGCCGAGGCCAGAGCATAAACCATCTTCTTTCACTTTCTATCAGAAGGTCTTAGAAGTGTGTGATGAGAATGTGGTATGGTCTGCATATGAGTTTGAAAAGCTTCTTTAGTTTGAAAGCTTCTCTAAACCCCTGCAGCTACTGCATTGCATTCAGCTTTCAAGTCTCTTTCTTTTTGCAATGTTCTGTCTGAATGTGCTATTATAGTGCGGCATTAATGATGTTGAACAAGCACTCTGCACACACTCTCGCCACAAAGACAGAAGTTTTATTTGTTTACTGGCTCATTTAATTACACATTTCAATATTTTCCTTTTCACAAAAAGCGAGCAGACGTTACACCCTCTAAAAGCCTCAGTGGAGAGCAAAAAAAAAAGGGCTGTCTGAGTAATTACCCTTTGTGGACAGACTATATAGGGTGCACTAAGTTAAAGGCAGTTTGTACTGCGCTTTCTGGGAGTGAATGGGAGTATTGGGTGTCGGACTTACGGCATTGAGCTGTGTAGGAACATTTTATCCAACAATCTTTCATTTGCTTGCTTGGGGTCCAAGGGACTATGTATTAGTGTTAGATATATTCTATATGTCTCCAATAGTGTGCCTGTCTTAGAAGCTTCTCAGTTCAGTACAGTTCAGTTTGTGCACCCTGTCTAGACATTTAGTGTTGCATATAACATTTATTCCAGTTTTCTAATATATTCTTAATAATTAACTTCAGTGTCATGGAAGTTTTTAATATACATTTTGTCTTGCATGGCTGTTTTTATGCCTACTGTATTATTATAGAAAAAGTAGATATCAAACATCAGTAATAATAATAATAATAAGAAGAAGAAGAAGAAGAAGAAGAAATGATTGTATTTTGCTAAGTAATGGTGCTTATTAAGTTAAAGACCACAATTCTGACAGCAAGTGACAGCTAACGTCTGCAGAAGAACCAAGTTCTCCAAGATTCGTGAAACAACCTAACCACTGATTTTCATACAGAGCTACAAAACCTATGAAAATGTATAGAGTTTTAAACAGAAAGTTAGATTATGATTTAATTTGTGTATTGGTTAGGGCAGCACAGTGGCGCAGTGGGTAGTGTTGCTTTTAACAATGGACATTCTTACAAAGCAGCTTTACAGAAATATATAAATTCAGGATATAAAGTTTAAATTTATGAATTTATCCCTAATGAGCAAGCCAGAGGCAATGGTGGCAAGGAAAAACTCCCTGAGATGACATGAGGAAGAAACCTTGAGAGGATCCAGACTCAAAAGGGAATCCATCCTCATCTGGGTGACACCGGATAGAGCGATTATAAATAATTCCCTTCTAAACTGTATACTATATAGTCAAAAAGTGCAATTGTGTTACCATGAAAGTTCATTATAGTTTACACATGAAGTCTGTTTTGTTGAGGTTATCAACTGTTTACTGATGGAGACTTGATTGCAAAACTGTTTGTGGGAATTGCAGCCCTAAAGCTAATATAGCAATTGTACTCCTAAGCGATCGTAGCAAAACTGTTCATATCAATTGCAGTCTAAACCAATCTTCATAGTTTCTAAGCGGTACTATTCACAGTAATCTCATTTCACTTTAAGCTGTCTATGTGGGGCCATCCTCAGCAGCAGTGAGTGATTTCCAAATCATGAGAACTCCAAACAGAAGTAGGGCATCAGGATGGATCAGGCAGGTCTGGAGAGCAGAAGGGTCAGGATCACTGGCATCTCAGGACACTGTTACTGTGTTTTTCTCAGGACACTGTTACTGTGTCACCGTGTCTGCGTGGGGTTCCTCTATGTTCTCTGGTTTTCTCCGACTGTCCAGAAATATGAAGGTAGTTGGAATGGCGGATACAATAAATTGCCCCATGGTGTGAATGAGTGTGTGCATGGTGCCCAGCGATGGCCTGATGTCCCATCCAGAGTGAATAAATGAATCATGCCTATTAGTTGTATAAATGTTTACTGTCGTTTATAGTAATTGGATATTTAGAAACCTCATATAATTTAATTATTTATTTGTTATTGAAATCATAAATAATCTTAAGTAATCTTTGCTTTACAGAATTTCTTTAGATATTTTTAAGACTTTTGCACAGTGCTGTATGCAGCAGTATTGAAACATATTCAGGAAATTGTAAAATGTTCATTGCTGTAAAGGTCAAATATATTTGAGTAGTAATTAACAAGGGAAGTTTGATGACTCAAAAAGCAACATATTTTTATTTATAGTATAAGAAGAAAATACTATAAAATATGTATTTGCTATCTGGTGCTGGTTGCCAACAGAATGTCATCAAACCTACCAATCAAATCATCCTAAGAATTCATGACTCATCTTGTATTAAAAAAAAAAAAAAAAAAGCAGAGTACTTAAGGTCAAGGTGAAGGGTTTTCATGGAGCTTTTTTGTGAATGTATTCATGGGAAATCCAGTTATGAATTTCTATGACTAGTATTTCTATAATGGAGTACAAAGATGTTCTAGGCTTGATTTATTTTTCCTTTGGCATTTTTCATGCTCAAACATCCACTCCAGTTAGCTCAATAAAATTCTGGATAAATTAGTCAACTAGCAGTGTTTACAACTGATAGCTAATAATGCTAATGGCAGTGAAAATACAAAGCAAAACCTTCTGATATATGCCTATATACTATTAAACCACTCAATATATTGGGCCTGGGAGACTTTTAGAACCTCCAGTCCCTCCAGTTTACCCATGCTGCAATATTGCAGTCAACTGATAATCAATAAGCATGATTTGTTAGTGAAATGTGTTATCGAGTAGACTTGCTTTTAAATTTGCTTTCTCCTTGGAGAGGTGGTATAGCTCTGTCTATGGTGAAGCTCTGGGGATGAGAAATGGAATAAAGCCTCTTTAGGCATTACTCCTCAGAAATACTGCCTTAATGGAACAGCATAATTCAGAATGGTGGGTCCCTAACTGTCCGGCAACATGCTGGGTGGAAAGTAATAGCTTGCCATGGGTGTAATGTACTGTATAGCTAATAAACTAAAATGTCAGTCTCTAATTAAAAAAAAAAGAACAAGAGGAGTAGCCTGCTACTGTTTTTCTCATATGCAATAGTGTTATTTTACTTTATATGAAGTGTGGGTGTATGTGGTGCAGTGTAAGAGACCAGGAAGCTTTTATCTTCTGCAGTGGTATAAGATGGAAATGGCCTTCAGGCAGGTATTCGGGAATATGTGAAGCTTTCTGATGAATATTAGGGAGACTCTTTAGCCTAAAGCAAAGAAAATGCCTTTGTGTTTGCATTGTATGTATAGTAGGATTAAGGTAAATAGAAGCATCAGTAGAACTTTAGTGTTTTTTCTACTTTTTGAATTTTTGTTCTTTAGTTTTGTTTACAATTTAAAAAAAGAATGTACATATAAAAATAAAACTGAA